GCCCCGCCCCTCCGCCCAAGCCCCCTTTCCCACATTAACTTTGCCGTTGGTGCCCCGAGCTGCGCAAGGCGGGGTGCGCAGCAGTGTGAGGCTGCCCACAGTCACCGCAGCAGGAGTTCGATCCCCGGCGGGGGAGGGACCCACAGGGTGCTGCAGACCTCTCCTGTCTCCCGGCTGCTCCCCTCAGTTTCAGTAGATTGCCCCAATTCTGCTCCCCACCCTGTCTCTAGGGAATCCTCTCACCCCCACACCTCTGGCCTGTATCCTAGCCTTTGTGTGCATAAATAAATAAATCTTTAAAATGAAATCTGGCATAAACTGTCCCCTTCACTGTGGTATCTTCCTCTGCCCATAACTAGTGCAGGCGGGGATCTGTCTTTCTGTTCACTGCGAGTCTTCCCTAGTGGATGGGACACTAAAACTTCTGTTTCTCCCTCAGAGAAGATTGCCACATGTCCCTCGGGCGCCCAAATGCCCAAGACCCCGGGACCGCACTGGACCTCACCCTCACCCTGGCCTCCAGAGCCGAGTGGGATCTGATGGTCCCTTTCCATGAAACACCAAATCAGCGACACCCAAGGCTTTTTCGTAATCACAGAGACCAGGGGACTGTCCACACAGATGCCCCTAGTAGTCCTCCCACCCGTGAAATTTTAATAGCAGAACTTGTCTAATTATCCGCTCGTTCCCTGTAAGACTGTCAGTCGAGAAGTCACATCTGCCTCCTCGGGGCAGCACTGACCGCTGAGGCCGGGGTCCACCCACTGCCCACATGCCGGCCAGGCCGCCACACCCCTGCCCAGGTGTGCCTGGAAGGGGCCTCGGCTGGACTCTCGCCTGTCCATAGGGTCAGGGGCAGGGACGCGTCACTTATGCTCACTTCCATGTCAGATAAGTGGTGAATTTAAAACAAATTCATGCAGACGTGGGCAAACATTCTCATCTTAGGTATCACCATTGCTGCCTGCAAACCCAGAAGGGTCTACCGTCCACTCACTCTCCAGGAACAGTGCACAGTGACCTTGGGGACAGCGCACTGCCTCACTTGATTTCTTTTTTAAAAAATGAATAATCTCAGTGAGGTGACGCTGACTGACCACACCATGGCCCTGAGATGGAGGTTGTGCAGAGGTGACCACAACATGCTCTCTGCAGATGTTTCCTTTGCCTATTACCAACCTTGGGTCAAAGGCCAGCCTCCTCGTCTGCACCCGCCCTCCGCCTGGGACGAGACAGGCTGCGGACACTCTGGCCCTCTGGCCTCTCACTGTCCCCCCGGCAGGCAGCGCAAGAAGCAAGGCCTGGGCAGCTGGTGGAAATGTGCGCAGGTGGAAACAGGGCGGGCATGTTGGGAAACGAAGCTGGTGACGTCCCCAGAGGCCACTCCCGCGTGAGCCAAAACTTGGCCATGCGGCATCTACCTGGCCCGAGGCAAAGGGGAGACAGAGGCATGTGGACGCAACAGCCCCGGCGCCACAGGGCAGTGGAGCCATGGCGGAGGGTGAGCCCAGGCCTCGGTGAGCCCCGGGTGGCTGCGCAGGACCCCAGGAGCGAATTCGTGTAGCGGCGACCTCGACAGCCCCACTGGCCCCCATCGTCCAGACTAAAGGCCTGGACCAGAGACCTCACTGAACGGACACGGGCACCCTCCCCCGAAGCAGAGGGCGCTGGAGACTGATGTGGGGGGAGGTACTGTGAGGACGAGAAACACAGCAAAGGCGGCGGCGCGGAGCGGGCACCCTGAGAATGTCGACAGTCAGACCGGGGTGGCTCCGGGGTGGGCAGGCCTACCTGTGGCCAAGTAGAGGATGTGCACGAGGGCGTCCCGGGCCTGCACCACGTCCACGGCCACGTGGGAGAAGCGGCTGCCGTCCTCCAGGAAGGCGGGCACAGGGCTCACCGGCTGCACCACCTCCTGCATCAGGATGAACTTCTGCGCGTCCTGCAGGTTCCTCTCTGTCAGGTTCACGTACAGGCCCTGGTCCACGGTGCCACACTGCAGGGACACAGGCCGTCACTGGTGCCCCACCTGGGCCTACCTGGGTCCATCTGGACCCACCTGGCTCTACCTGAACCCACCTGGACCTAACTAGATCCACCTGGACCAAACTGGGTCCTGAATCTACCTGAGCCCACCTGGGCCCACCGGGGCCAAACTGGATCCTGAATCTACCTGAGCCCACCTGGGCCCACCCGGACCCATCTGGACAGAACTAGATCCACTTGGACCCACCTGGATCCTGGCTGCCCCAGCAAGGCTGCCGTGGAACCAAGTAAGCACAGCAAGTAACTGAGGTTGCATACACCAGGGTTCTGTGTCCCCCCAAAACCCCTCCCTGGGCTCCTCATTGTAGGTGTGAACTCATCCCACTTGGGGGTCTCTCACCTTCGGCTGCTGGGGGGGGGTTGGGGGTGGTAAAAACAAACTCACACGGAGTCACGGCTGATTTAAAAGCTGTGCAACCCAGAAGCTCTCTGGACGAATGAATGGCATCACGGCCCTGATTAGACAGGTAACCAAACGGGAGAGGTAACGTCAACACGTCACGTAGATTTGCTGGTTTTCTCGGGGAGCAGTGGGTCTGTATGTGAGAGTTACGCACTATCTGATGCCATTCAGACTGCACTGTGCCATGCGGCTAGCTCTTTGCACTCATGTTTCAGGCTAAACAGAGTTTTTGCAAACTTGCAAGAGAGAGAGATAAGAGGAAAGGAGGGAGGGAGCTGGGAGACAAGTGGGTGAAGAAAGGTGGGGGGAGACGACCTGGGGGAAGCAGGCCTGGAGTCGCTGAGAAGTAAGTTCAGGCTGGGCCAAGGAGCTGGGCGTGTTATGTGGAATGGTTCCAGGCAAGGGCGAGGTAAACAGAGAGGCCAGAGACCAGGCTTCCCTGGGGCAGAGCACAGGATCAGAAAACCGCCAGCCATCTTCCTCATTCCTTTCATAAACTTTAAATCTGGTCCTCGTGAAGGCTGATTCTGAGCAGAACTTCATCTAAGTAGCTTTGAGGAAATGAAATTCCGTGTCCACGCCATCTGCCACTGCCACGCACAACATGCGCTTTCTAATCCTGGGTTTCATAGCAGGTGAGAGGTGCAGGAGTGTGAGGTGGAAATTGCTTTGAAAAAACAGGTATTTTGTAGCACTTGACAAACGCCCTACTTGCCACGAAATGACAGGCAGATTGGAGACTCAGAGAGCCTTGGAACGAAATGGATTTTCAGCCTGGGCTCGTGCTGAGTCGAAGGCCACATCCCGGCGGGGGGCCGGTCCCGGGGGGGGGGGGCAGCGCCAGGCAGGCCCCGTGCGCAGGGGATGGGCCGAGTGATGCCTGGGGACCGCGCCGGCGACTCGGTGAGCAGAGCCCCAACCTGACCCACTGCGGCCAGAGGGACGCCAGCCCGGGAGCCCCCGAGAGGAGCCAGCGGGAGCGGGCGAGCTGAGCCAAGACGTTGGCAAGTGGCCGGGAAGCAGAGCGCAGGCCTGGCAGGCTCATCAGGGCCAGGCCACCGCCGGGCGGGCAGCAGGGCCGCAGCCGGGGTGCTCTGAGCGCAGCGGCGGGGAGTACCGGAGGGACAGCCCCTGCGCCGTGTCAGAATGACCCTGCGTGACAGTCCCCGGAGCGCGGGACACTGTTGCAGGGCTGCCGGGCGAGAGCCAGCTCTGCGGCGTGCTGAGGCCAGGCGGTGCAGAGCGGAGGCCCCCCTTGGGGGCCTGGGCGGTATGGCCCGGCCGGTCAGCTCTCCCGCTTGGGGGCGAGCCCCTGGTTTCCTGTCGTGGTGTTTTTTTAAAGCCTGGCATACTAAAACCTGGAGACATGGCCTCCAAGCGGGAGACCCTCCTGCTCAGGGGGGCCCCCCAGGAGGCCGCTGACCGCCCCTGCTGACCAGGTCCTGGGTCCTGATCTTGCCGGCGCCGGGCCTGAACCTCCGGTGCAGGGAGGGACGTGTCTGCTGTGCGGCCTGCCGGACACAGCGGAAGGCCCCTGGCTTCCCTACAGGGCCATGCGGCTGTCTCTGCTCAGAGGGGAGGACTCTGGGCGCACCTCGGGGAGGGAGCTGGCCGCCAGCAGACCCAGGCAGGCCGCGGAGGGAGGGCGAGTGAGCGCCCCTCCCCGCGGCACAGGGAGGCTGCAGTGGCCTTCCCAGTGACGCCTCAGCCAAGTGTGCCTTGGTGAGGTCCACGGGGAAGGGGCTCGGGCTGGTGGGCACAGGACAGAGGAGGTCGGAGGGCGCCCCGACCCCGCCTCGCCCTGCTCCTGAGGCCTACACCTCGTGATAACCCGGGAACGCAGTAAGGGAGCTGTTCTCCGATTCCGTGAGCCGCTCCAGCCAATCAGACAACACCAAGGAGAGGCTCCCCGCCCGTCCTCAGAGGGGGTGACAAGCTGCATTTGAGAGGGTCTCTGAAGTGGGGTACAGGGGGTAGTCTGGGGGGCACGAAGCCCTTCTCCCGTGGACCTGCTCCATCGGCAGGTGTGCAGCTCAGAATGAGGGGTCGTGTGGACCCCCAGCTGGGGTCTGAGCCCCGTCTAGTCTGCAGGGAGGGAACACCCCCACACACACACCTCGGAACTGGGTGGCAGACCTGGAGCTGAGGCTACTCGCAGGCCTTGGTTTCCTCACCAGCCTATAATGAACATCCCGCCCAGGGCTGTTTTTCAAATTTTCTGAAAGCCATTTAAATTTACAGTGCTTATTTACGGGGTCCAGAGTGCCCCGCCTTACTCTCTAATGGGCTGCAAATTCTCCAGCTGTGCCTGGTGCCGGCTTCCCCCGGTCCACGCAGCGCCCTGGGGCTGGGCAAGAGGAAAGCAAAGGAGAACCACGGCCCCCTCCGCTGGCCACCCGGCTGCGGATCCCCTCCAAGTGGTCTCGTGAGCCCCACTACGGGCGCCCGTGTGGGGAGGACTCAAATCCAGGGGACACAGGACACTCGCTGCACATTTGGGTCAATGCTCTCATCGCCATCGCCCAAACCTTGACCGTCCTGAAAAGCTGACTTCGACCCAAATAGGACAAGGCCCGCTGAGTGGCCACACCTCCGCGGGCTCCACCCACGTCCTCCCTGGCTAGGCGGGGCGAGCCTCTCCCGTGACCCGGCACCCGGCAGCCAGAAGCCGTGGTCTGGGGGAAGAGGGGTGTCCAGTGAGATGCAGATTCACCCCAAGGACTAAGCTTCTCCACCGCCAGGACGTAAGACATCGACTGGGGGGGTCTTGTCATCACCTTCCAAGCACCCCGAAATACGGCGGGCACAGCCACCACACGCTAAGTGAGATAAATCGGGCAGAGCAAGGAGGCTGGCTGAGAAACAGCCGTCAGGCAGAAACACAGCCGGGGCTGGGGCGGGCGGGCGGGGCTGAGGACGATGCTCGCTCGAAGGGGCAAAGCGCAGCGGACAGCCAGCGGGGTCGTGCGCCAAGACCTGGCTGTGAGGCCCTCGCTCGGTCCCGAGGGCGGCCAGGAAGCCTTTCATGGGAATGTGTCCAGTGCCAGGCCTTGCGTGCCCGGCTGGCCCACGCCCGCTGCAGACACACGGCACGGCTATGGCCGCTCGCTACCTGCGGGAACCCCTGGGGAACCAGGGAGCTTCCCCGCAGCCACACCGCACCCACTGGCCAGCTGGCTCCCCGCCTGCCGCAACAGGCCGGCCGTGCCAGGGCCACCTGGGCACTCAGCGGACCCGCGGCCTCGCCTGTGCCACGAGCCCGCCAAGTGTGGGCCAGCCCGGGGCCCCGGGGTCCTGGTGCGTCGCAGGTGGGCCAGCCCCTCCCAACAAGGTCCGGTTTCTCCCTGGGGACATGCAATGAGGGCCTGCGTCCTGCACTCACCTGGAAGTTGGGGTTGGGGTTGGGGTAAGGCAGCCAGGCAGAGCGGGAGTTCTCCTGGTACTTGAAGGGCCCGTTGAAGGCCAGCGAGATGGCGCTCAGGTTGAAGACGCACACGGCCGAGGCGGCGATGCTGTTCCTGGGAGCCGAGGAAGGAAGAGGGCGGAGGTCAGCGGGGTACGGCCCCATGGGGGCGCCTTCCGTCCGAGGCCTCACGATTGCGGTTTGGGGGAGTTCTGTTAAGGATGGGGTCAGAGGGCAGCTTAGAAGGATGTCCCCAGGCGCAGCGGGGGTGAGCATGGGCAAGGGCCTGCTGATCCCGCCTCCGTGATTTGCAAGGTTAAAGTGACAGTGGCAGGAGGCCCCGGAAGGGTCCAGCCCCAGCCCCAGCCGCTCCCCCCCCCCCAGCTCCAACGCAGCCCCTTTGGGCCCAGAGCCAGGGATGCAGGGGAAAGAAGCCAGACGGCTGCAAGCTGAGGTCCGCTGCCCACTGGTTGGCTAACAGGTTCTGGAAGGCCCAGCAGGCAGGGCCTGTGAGCTGACTGTGGAAGACAAACTGATCAAAGAGGAAAATAACCTCTGGGGTGGAAAACCAGACTCAGCCAAGAAGGGGGCGCAGCTCCTGCGGGGGGGGGGGGGGGGCGCTCCTGCACAGGGCTGGGGGGGGCTCCTGCATGGGGTGAGGAGGGCAGCTCCTGCGCAGGGCTGGGCAGCTCCTGCAGGGGGTGAGGG